CATTTTGAGTTGAGTTTTTTTCAGAGTGAGAGGGGTTTACTTTCTTTTTGTTATATGTAGCTTTCCAATTTTCCCTGCATCATTTGTTGAATAGGCTTTCTTTTCTCCAATGTATGTTTTCTGGCGCCTTTGTCTAGTATGAGATCACTGTGTTTTTGTGAGTTTGTCTCTGTGTCTTCTATTCTATACCATTCATGTGTCTACACATCTGTTTTGGTGCTGATACAATGGTGTTGTTGTTATTGTGGCTCTGTAGTACAGTTTAAGCTATTCTATTATTATGTGTCCTACTTCACTCATCTTGCTAAGGATTGCTTTGGCTATTCTGGGTCTCTTACTTTTCCAAATGAATTTCATGACTGCTTTTTCTAGTTCTGTGAAGAATTGTCATTGGGATTTTTTTATATGAATTGCATTAACGTTCATGCCCAAGTACAAATTAGTTAAAACTATGAAAAAGAATCCTGGATCAACATTGACCTGACAGCTATCTGGTGACAGGTATCTGTTGACTCAGGAGCTTTAGCCTGCACACTCAGTGGTGGCTAAGCTGAGGTTACTCCGCATTTCAGCATTAACAGCATCTTAGAGTTGAGTCTACTTTGCATGTTGGTGTTGATGTCTGGGTACAGTTATGCTTTGCTACTACACAACCAGGGATACTTTGCTGGGTTTTTTAAAATTTTAAATGTGTCTGAAAATTTCTTTGGGTCCTTTATTCACTTTTCTTGCTCAACTTCTGTGTGCTAGGCACTATCCTAGGTGTGGAATACAGAGTGAATAGGCCAAGTCCATGCTTCCATGGAAGTTAATGAAGTTAATAAGATGATTATAGCATCTACCTCAGTGTTATTGTGAAGCCTAGAAGATAGTATGTCTGTTCATAACTGCAGTGCTGAGGACTGTAATATTGTTGAGGAAAATCACAGATGACTTCAACAGGCATCACCTTGTTTTTGTCTGGGAAGTATTGTAAAGTTGTTACGTTTTCTATAATTAAAACAGACATTTAACACAGTTTGTATCTGAAGTCTGTGAACTTCAGGGATCCCTCTGGGCTGCCTGTCTCCAGGTCAGACACACAGTCCTGTGCTGACTCAATACAGGTTTGGAGACCCTTGAAGCCTCTTTTATAACCATGAGAGCCTGTGCTTCATAGTCAGCAGGCCAAGTAGGGGTCTCCAGGTCAAGTGGATCACACATCCCTATGGTGCTGACTTCCCCCAATCAGTTCATCTCTTGTCTTCACACACTTACTGGCTGCCATTTAGCTGGATGGGCCCTACTCCATAATGGGAATTTTATATCCTTTGCATTAATTGTCCAGAGCTTTTGGGTAGAGGCCTGGCCTTTCCTAATCCCCAGAACTATCTCTGTGTCCTCTTCACAGGGTCCTGTTATTACTGGCTGTGAGCGTGCTTTGTGCAGATAGTGGTGTACTGCAAGCTCATATTACATTCATTTTGTGTCCTCTTCCTTATAGCACTTAACAAGGTGCTTGGAGTTGGAGTAGGGGTAGGGGAGTTGGCCTGAAAAATGACCCTAAACTTTATGAACATAGTTAGTGAAACCTAGGGTGGGGGGTGACGATAGTATGGAGAGAGTGCAATTCCTCCTAGGGAAACACATACACAGTGAAACTTCATTTAAAGTAAAGTGTTATGCTGCACTCCAAAATTAAGCAATTCTGGATGGATTTCAGAGAGTTAAAAAAAAATGAAGGGAAAACAGAACTAGAAGATAAAATTGAATAGTTTTTCAATTTCTGCTAGGGAGCCGGTTACCATTGTCAGACCACGCTGTGCTCTAGCTGGGGATCATGAATATCACATGAACTGAGAGATGTACAAACACATCCCCAGTTACTTGTGTTGTTGTGACACAGAACATTTCCTTAATCTTTGATGAGGGAAAAAGACATATTACCTTTAGAATATCACTCCTAATGAATGCTGTGCTAGGGCTGTTCTGCTTCAGAAGTTAAAAACCTGGGCTTTGTGCAGAGGCATCCAGATTTTAAGAAAAAGGCTAAGCAGAAGAGAGACACACACATATCAAATCAGTTGCAGAACAGGACTCCACCGTGACTATAAATGTTGAGCGACTACTTCTGGTTCTGTTTTTTTTTTTTTTTAATATTTATTTTTTACTTGGACACAATAGCTTTGTTTATTCTTATGTTGTACTGAGGGTCAGACCCAGGGCCTTGAACATGCTAGGCAAGCACTCTACCACTAAGCCACAACCCCAGCACTGGTTCTGTGTTTTTAGTATCTGTTGTGCGTCTCCTCCTGGTGCTCTTTAACTGATAAGCTTTTGACATTGGCCTGCATGAGGACACCACAGGTGAGGACTTGGGGACAGTGGAGAGCCTGGCTGGGGTTGGGTTGGATGATTGTATAAGACACCATTGGAGATACGTTAGAACAGTGTCCTTGGGGTAGAGTCAGGAAAAAATTCTTTCTTACTTGACATTTTGATAGAGTGAGGAAGTGTCTATTTTTCCTAATGTAATTAGTTGGATATTCAAGCTAGGTTTCAAACTCTATTCTTTCATGAGTTTGGAGGGGAAAACTAGTACTTACTATCCAGCTTACTAGATGTTCACTGGTTAGTTTATAAAATATCACCACATATCTCTCATTTTAATCAGATTTTAAGTATGCACATGTAAGATACTCAATGTCAACATTCAAACAAAGAGTAGAGAATGAAAACCTCCTTCATTTCTCTGCCCATAGGGCATTGTGTTGAATATCTATCTAAGGATATGTGCATTTCCATGTTTTTGAAACAAAAAAAAAGGTATATATTAACACACTTTTTCTTTTGGAAAGTCAAAATAAGAGAACTCTTCTCAGTTCTCTGGGGACTTTACACTTATTTTATAAACCTCTGTACAGTTTGGCGGTTTAATCTTTTACAAAGAGTTTGCATGACTTTTGTAATTAAAAAAACATGAGACCAAGTAGAAAAAAGAATGGAAGGAAGTAGTCCAACTTTGTTCCTTTCAGGAGAGGACTCAGTCCATTCTCTCACTCATTCCAGAAATGCTTTCTGGTAGGTTCTGGGTTTAGCTCTATGGTGGAGCACTTGCTCAGTGTTTGAAAGGTCCTGGGTTCAGTCCCTGGTGCTGTTGAAATAAACAAAGCAGAACCATAAGACACATTCTGGAATGCTATTGGACAGTAGTGTGAGTCTTGGTACCAGTTATGTTTGATATATTTCAATAAGCTAGAAGAAAATGGTCCACATGTTTTCACCATAAACAAACAGGAAATGTTTGAGGATGTAGGTGTTCTTTAACCTAATGTGACCATTGCAGATCATTTGCATGTATCAAAATATCACATGGTACCCTGTTAGTATGTATTATTTTTACATTTTAAACATCATGTAGCTACACATTTAAAATAGTTTCCCATATTCTCTAAATTTATAAACAACAAATGGACAAATAGCTGTATTTGTGAACCTAATTAATACATTCTGAGAATGCCAGGCTTTCTCATTTTTATTTCATTTTCTATAGGCTCAGTAATTCTTCTGTATTTTTTAAGGTTTTATTTTCCTCACTTAATATATTTTAGCACATTACTAAATGTGCTAAAATGGTTCCTGTTCAGAAGACAGGAAGGTGATTAGGGTGATTAGGCCGGTGATTTATTTTGTTGTGGAGCAGTGATTGGCAAATAGTAGTTACTGTAAATGTTTGTGTGAGTGAGTGAAAAACTATCTGCAACTCTAAAAATGTGTATGTGATCAATAAAGATAAGGAATACTGCCAGGTGACCTGCAATTTAGATTGTGTAAGAAAATTAGCTTGAGGCACAAGCTACATATTAACTATAAGGATTCTTAAGAAATATTGTTGGATTAGTCATTTATTCATTCATGCAGATTATGTTGAGTGGCTACAGTATGCTGTTAGGAGCTGGGAAGACCACAGCGAATAAAATATTGCAAAGTTCCGGCTATTAGGGGCCTTGCATTATAGTATCCAGGGTTTAGGAAGAATAAATGTGTTATAGAAAAGTAAAAAACCTGTGGAAGGGGAAAGATGGTAATTGTTAGCTAATAGATATGGAGAGAACCTCCCTTCAGGTCTTGTCAGATTGAAGGATGATGTGCCTACAGTCTAACCTCAGCAGTAATGCTGAAGTAGGATAAATGGGCATGGTCTATGGTTATGCTTGACTCATTTAGAAGAAGCTATTTGATTTAATGTGTAACTGGATCTTTTCACAATGTTTCCTTATATAGTAGGAATCTTTTTGTACTCTGAGATTAACAGAAATTACATTTTTTAAAATATTTTTTTACTTGTAGATGGAGACAATCCTTTATTTATTTATTTATTTTTATGTAGTGCTGAGGATCAAACACAGTGTCTCATATATGTGAGGCAAGCACTCTGCCACTGAGGCACAGTCACATCCCCAGAAACTACATTTTAAAATAACAATAAAGCAAGCAAAAATGGGACAGAATGGTGACAACACTTGACATTCTTTTTTGAATAAGTATCTCAAACCTGGGAGAGCAAAATAATCATAATGGAAACTGTCACATTGCAAAGTCCTTCTGATACTAAAGTAACACCAAGCTAGATGCTATTATGGAAGAGCAATGTGAACAGGGAATGGCATGTGATTGCATAGAGTGAAATCAGGTCTGGGGGGCTGCTAGATTTGGTCTCATATGAATTTATATAAATATTAAATAGTTTTTAGTGGGGTAAAGGGAGAGATACCAACCTTCTCAAAATGTTGTACCCAGTTTCTATCAGAAGAAACTTTGCATTTCCGTATGTCTTATTGTAAGTTAAATTGACTAAGTTCTTTAGATTTTCATGGTCTGAGAGAAATTTGCATAAAAATTTTACATTTCTGAAGTTATGTTAATGGAATCAGTGGCAAATAAAATGGATTATAAGTTAAAAGACAACTTCTCAGTGTTTCACTCTCCTGTCACTCTGCAGATGAGGCCTGTTGGTGGACTATACATCCTGCCTTGAAGCAGTGATCAGAAGGCGAGAAACTATGGGTTGGAGGTGATCTTGTCCTAGGTAGCGAGTCCTTTGAGCAATACTTGGTAAGTGTGCACTGTAGGACCATGGGCTTAGTGTTGTGATAAAGGACAGTACAATGAGATGGTCTCTTTAGGGGTTATCCTGCCAATTTTCTGGGAAAGTTGCTGTTGCACAAGCCCGTACCTCTATGTGATGAGTTATTAACAATGAGTAGGAAAGGGAAGTGGCCTGAGTGGAAGTGCTTACCAGATCTTTCAAGCATCCTTCCTCATGCACTTGATTGAAGTGTATGTTCATGGTCCTGAGAGCACACCTGTGTCTGGATTCTTCTATGAATAGAATGTAAGCTCAGTATTATCAGGAGTTCCAAACCCTGGTCTTTATTTTATGCTCAATGTAAAGGTTATATTACAAAGATTGTGATTACCTATTTTTATATTCATGAAAGAAAATTATTACATCAGGAAAGCTTGCCATGTTAAGGAGAAATAGACAAAGTATAGGGGCCAGAAATGGGAAAATGAAGGGAAAAATTTGTTTAATCATTGGAGGATTTTGACTTTTTTTGATAAGGGAATTGTATATTTAATTTATTTAGTAAGTTGTAGTTTTGTTTAACAACAATCCTATGGGTAAATTCACAAAATATTGAAATCCACAGAACTGTAAAGGATTCCAGTGCAAAATATTCTTTTATTTTAAGGTTGAAAAGAAATTAATTATAAAATGGGACATTATGAGCTTTGCATGAATACCCACATGAAATATCTGAGTTGTCGTGGGTGATTTCAGAAATAGAGCACATTGAAAGCACAACATGGATTCTAGAGAGTGCATTGCCAGTGACATGAATCAAAATGTTGTTTGTGTGTACCTAAGTAGGAATGAGTTGGCATTTATATTCTCTATAAATGTGGAACTAGGGTGGCTTTGAGGTAGCTGTAAGTGTCTTGGGTTACCAGCACCTTCAGTTCCAGTTTTCAAATGTTTCTAGGAAACATGGCTTTGTTTTCCTGTCTCTATGGAGAAAGGTGATGATGAAGACAGGGAAACTATAACTGTGCTCTGTGTCACTGGCAGGGACTGTGAAGTTAAAAGGAGCATCTGCTGGTGCACAGCTGCTGGAAGGCCTGAGCATTTCTGTGCTCATTTCCCCTAGCTGATGTGCATGGAAACAGTCACCATGCCAAATTCTGGAAGAGCGCAGGTGTGCAGCTTGTAAAATAAGAATTTTTCAAGTCCTTGTTATGTGCATGTGTGTGCTGCAAGATGACGCATTTATTTGCTCAAGAGATGTACAGTTGAGCTGGAGTTGTCTTTGGAAACCAGTTGAAGTGGAACTAATTCATGGAAATTTCCATATACAAATTCTACATGTATCATATTTTGACTTTGATTATGAGTCTTCATTTGTTGTTGTACAACTTGTATTTTTCACTATATAACAGAGTTTATTGGATAGGGTATTATTCACCAAAGGAATGGAAAATCAGAAGCCAAGGCTTCTAATGTCAATTCTGCAGCTAACTAACTACCTGAGCAAGTCATGTCACTCCTTGAACTCCAGCTTCCTTGCTTGTAAAGTGAGGTTATTGATAATAACAGAATGTATAGCCAAGATATTGAGAAGAGGTAGTGACATAATGATTTTGTATAAAAATTTAAATACATATAGGCAAACAAAATAACAAACAGAGAAGTAGTATGATGCACAATCCATGGCTCACCATCAACAATTCTCTCATTTTGTTTCTATGGCACTTTCATCTTTCTGCCCCTTCATAGTAGCTTCTGGTTGTTCCTTATTTGCATTTAGTAGGGTCAAACTTTCTGTACATTTCAACATCAAAGCTTAGCTGTAGAGTTTTGACAGATGGTTCCACTGGGGCTACCCAGACACATACCTCCATGTGAGACATTTCCATTTTCCTTAAGTTTCCCCAAGAAAGTTACCAAACATTCCCTCCTAAATTTGTCCCTGCCTCTTTGACCAGAGAGATTTTTTTCACTCCTGATTCATAGAAGTCACAAGTTTTGCATCCTTAGGAAAACTGATGTTATTTTTATATATATGTAGTCTCTTGCTAATCTGATTTTACTTAGCTTTTTAAAAGTTAGCAATAATTGCTGAATTGTTTTCAATTACAGGAGATAAAAATCATGTTTAGGGTCCTTGTTTCATTGATAAATAAGTTACCCATATACTCAAATGTTGAAAAATCCCTAAATTCATAGAATAAGCTGTAGTTGACCATAACGTGTTGTTATTTGAAATCCTACTAGATATGTGTGTATTTATTTTATTCAGAATTATTGACTATATTCATAATGAAAATTAAATGTTTTATTCATGGTTAATTATATTTGCATTTCATACCATTTTCATATGTTATGAAATGTCATTTTTCTTTGATACTGAGCTACCTTGTTGGAAGTGTCGCTGCAGGAGGGCAAACTCTCAGGCTCATTGAACTGTGCACTTCAGATTTATGCATTTACTTCTCTTAATGTTACCATTTCATAGAAAGTTTAAAACATAGAGCCTAATAGAAGAGCTAACAAAAATATTCAGTTTTGAATTTCAAGGCTTCAGAAGCATTGCTCGGTGCTTGGTGATTGGTCAGCCTCTTGGGATCTGCTGTGAAGCCTGTGATGCTGTAGGAGTGGGAGGCAAAGTGCAATCTCCCCTTTGAAGCTTGTTCACAGTTTTCTGAGGCCAAAGATCATTTTTTGAATGTAGATATGTGGAAATTCCCTGCTGTTTGTTTTATTCAAGTCAATATTTATTGAATCATTTTGTAAAATAATAACTGAATGAATATATTGAAAGCTAGTTTGTACAGGGTGCTGTGTGTGTTATTTAATCTGAACACAATGGTATTGGGATGCCTCCACCTACCTTTTGATTCTGTTTCTGTTACTGTTCAGTGATTTCAGAGCACATCATGTTGACACTGGCTTGGGAAGGGGATTCCCAGAATGAAGGCATCACTTCTGCATTCTTACAGGCTATTATGCACCAGGAAGGCCACCTGGATGATGACTTAAACTTTTCTAGATCTCAGCATGAAGAAACATGCACAGACCAAGTCATCTGGAGCAATGTCTCACTTTTCAGTAGATTTATAAGGTACTTTTGCTTTTGTTGTCCTGGTACTTTGATATTTCATTTTCATTTTCTTTCTGTGTTTACAAGTAATGAATTTCAAAGTGTAAAAATACATTGAGGGAGTTCAACAGAACACAATACAAAATGCTACTTAGATAATTGTGTTTTTCTTTTAAGTGAAAGATAAAGGAATGTGCTTTTAGAAGTTGGGCATGTAATTTTCAATTGAGAGCTACAGGTTGGGATTATTCTGAAACTTGTTTTTGTGTAAGACTGACTTAATTCCCTTTTACAGAGAGAATAATGAAGACTTATATGCTTTTTAACTACATTAAAAATAGTGGTCCATGTAATAACTGATTTTTCCACCTGAAGATTGAAACAGTTGTATATCTACACACGAAATCAAACTTGCAGCCAAAGTGTTTTCTGATACCAATATATTAGTACACCATGTCATCTGTACAGGATGTATATCATCTATCTCTTGAAATTTGCAAATTTCATGAGAGGAAAATATTTTTGAAATATGCACTTTTTAAAAGTTTTCTTTTAATACTTTATTTTATTTATTTATTTTTATGTGATGCTGAGGATCCAACCTAGGGCCTCACATGTGTGAGGCAAGTGCTCTACCACTGAGCCACAACCCCAGCCTGAAATATGCACTCTTTATATATACAGATAATTCAGTATGATGAAGATGTTAAAAAAGGTATACATTTTAACAAGTTTGCACATATATCTTGTTTCTATAATTTACTTTTGGATATTTGGGGAATGGATATTTATGTTTATATTTTTAAATTTTGTTGATGTATTCTACTTGCTAATGTTTCTACAAGTCTATTGTGAGGTTTTTGTTAATTTCTTGTCATATATAAATTACAAATGTTTCCTACAATGTATTAGTTGGAAAAAAATTTTTAAAGTATTTTCTCAAAATAGCTAAATTAATAAATTATTTTTGCTTTCAAATGTAAGAAAGATCTTTCCTATCCAATATTATATTACTATCCACTTAATCATTATCTGCTTTTATAAACCATCCCACTCAGGATGTGTGTGTGTGTGTGTGTGTGTGTGTGTGTGTGTTGGGAGGACATTTATATGGCTGAAGAATGTGCATAACATGCAGCTTCATAGTATCCCTAGTGCTTTTTCCATTTCTGTGCCTAATTTAAACCTTAAACTTCATCAGATGGAATAAGGCTTAGAGTCTTAGAGATGGGGTAGGTGTCATTTTTATATTGTATTAATCATTTGTATTACTTATTAATTCCATTGCTTTATACAGTACTTCTTGTAATAAATAGAAAAATTTATAGAAATTATGAAAGTGGAGAATAGAAATGCTATTGACAAAATTAGTATGGGATTTTATTCAAAAACTTTATAATAGTTGCAGTTTTATTTTTATTGACTTATGAAGGGGAAGTACCATATTTCAAAATGTAATTTGTAATTGAGATCTATAGTTATCTTAATGTAAATGATGATACATTTTAAATATTTTGAGCATTATAATGTACAAAGCTAAGTTAATTATTATTAATAAGCCTTTATTGTTTCTAAAATATAAGTTTTGATGTAGTCAGAAAAATTTAGTCAAAAATATTTCTTTTCACTAAAATATTTTCATACAATTTTGTTGATGTAAAGAGCAAGAATTTGAACTATTTTTGAGCATTGAATTTTGTCATGACTAATGAGTATTACTGTATCAATTAGAATAGTGCTATTCTCCTATTTCTTTATGGTATCTGTTTTGTGTGTGTGTGTCTGTTTGTATGTTTTAACAGACTTTTTACCTTGCAATAATTTTATATAAAAGCATCACATTTTACCGTGCTCTCCAGACACATTCTAAGCTGTGAGCTTTAAAACGAAGAATCTCAGTAAACTCAACAAATTATCATATTCTTATTCACTAGCGTTTTGCTCCAAAGGTGAGAAAATACACCTTAGTCATCTTTCTTAATCTAAGTTTTAGATTTGAAAGTATTTAAAAGCATTTATTTTGGATAACAGAAAAATACCTTAATCTGTTACATTTTTGGATTAACATCAATAGAATATATTTTCAACTGCTAGGAATTAACAATGTAATAGCTGATGTCAGTGATCAAAGTAGAAACAACAAGAAAATGTCAGAATTATGAATCCTGGAAGATGTGGCTTCACACCTTAAAGGATGTAGTGCTTTAAAATGAAGTCTTAATATTGGTTGATTTCTAAATATTTAGACCATTAATTTTGTCATCATTGGTCCTATGCCTCTAGGCGAGGAGCTCCAGGTGGGGCTTTTATAATATGACATGGCACCTCTGTGTGGCAATAGAGTTCCCAATGGATGAGTTCATCCTTGCTGTTGGAGGACAGGAGGGCCTTCCTTCCGTAAGCCTTTCACACTAGTAGAGGGAGCAAATAACTCTGTGAAGTTATCTGTAAATCAAAAGACAGTGACATAAAATTGTGGGTCAGTGACAGCAGAGGTTTGCTGTGATTTCAGGAGCCTGGATGCTCTCATCAAGAAAGCGAAGACTCCTGAGACCAACCTGCCCATATAGTTGGTGAGCCTGAGTCTGCAGGATATCAACTGTTCCTTCCACCCTCCTGATGAGCACTTGGAGCATGAGGACAAACTGAACAGTTTGCATGCCCTGAAGAATTGGCAGAACCTCTTCTGGGGAGAGGTGAGTCTGCCCATTTCTTCTTTGTTTTCTTGGGACAACAACTTCTTGGCGGGGGGTGGGGGAGATTCTCCTTTAATTCTCCATCTTTACACTTTGAGGTGGAAGGCAGCAGGTGTGCTACTGCACAGGAAAACAGGCCTAGGAGGTACATGGTCATTACTTTTATTTCTCTGTCAATGATTGTTAATTTTACAGGATGAAATTTGCCATCACAAGGTATTGTGTTACCTTGTTTATTCATATTTCATGTATTCCTGGGATAGATTTTATATATCTTTTGGGATTAATTTCTCTTCTTGTGTTATGTGTGGGTCTTTTTTAGGGCATGGCCTTCTCTTGCTAAAGTGTCTTCTGTCTGATTTTCTGTAGAAGTGAATGCCCATAAGTGGAAACTGAGTTCTGTCAGCTGTTTCTAATTGGGACCTGATTATTTCTTCTAGGATTTTGAATTTTCTATTATTTTTAACAAAGTTTGTGTCCAGTTAATTTGGGTGTAGGTCAAGGTGAAATGTCTCTTGTCTGGGTTTATTTCAGTGGCGGAGTTTATTCCCTGTGAACTTGTACTTGGTCTGTAGATTCCTAGCACTTGCACAGAAAAGGCAGGGAGAAAAAAAAGCAACAAGTGAAGCAAAGAACATACAGCATTGAAATAAATACCCAATGCCTACTCCTACATCAATAGTGCTAATTACCCAGAAACGGTAATGGTGAGGTCACCAATTGCCAGCAGCAAAGACAGTAAATAGCTGTGGACAAGAACTGGCATTATAATAAGCAGCAGGTGTCAACTGTGCCATCCACATAATTAATAAGTGCAACAGCATGAATGGTTGGCGGCAGCAGTTACATGGAGCAAATAGTTCTAAAATATTATAAAAGTATAGTTTATTAAGAGAAAAGAAAATGTGATAGGAAGGTAAAAAAACTTTAGATGTTCAAAATGTGAGAGAACACAGATGTAGCAAGTGAAGGTTTGCAGGAGAATAAATAGCAAATACAAAAAAAGAGGGGGGAAGAAAGTACAAGGGAATTTAGCTGTTATTGGGAGAAGGAGGAAGAGAGAGAAAAACAAGAAACAAGTAAACAAAAACAAAACAAAAATAAAATATCGTAACCCTCAAACAAAGCAAGGAAAAATAACTATTAAAAATGTTAGAGATTTGGGGCTGGGGTTGTGGCTGTAGAGGGCTCGCCTAGTTCTCTTGAGGCCCTGGGTTCCATCGTCAGCACCACATAAAAGTCAATAAACAAAGCAAAGTTGCTAAAAGATAATTTTCAAAAAAATATGCTAAAGATTTACCCTATGTACATGTATGAAGACACAAATGGTGTGACTCTACTTTGTGTACAAACAGAGATATGAAAAATTGTGTTCTAAATGTGTAATATGAATTGTAAAGCATTCTGTCATATAACAAATAAAAATAAAAAAGGAAAATGCTAAAGATGAGAAAAAAGAAGTATGTATGTGTATGTATATATACTATGAACCAATCAGTATAGCAGGAACACCAAGAAAAAAAGAAGGAAAAATATTCAAGGTAGTTAAAATTGTGCAGGAAATATGGATTATCAATGCCTGTTCCCAAGGGTTTCTTTCCATTTCTTGGACTTTTTACCACCTTTGAATGGCCCCTTGTTTTTGTGTTGGCCAAACAGCTTCTAGTTGGAGTGGCCTTCCACTGAAGCTGGTTCTGATGACTCTCTTCTTTCCATATAATTAGCATGAGGTAGGAGATAGTGGGAAGAACTGTCCTTTGGCATTTTTACACAGAGACCATCTGGATGCACTGCCAGGGTGGGGCTATGGCAGATTTCTATGAGGGGTGTTCCATGTGGGGTGCTTACTTCTAAACATGCCTCAGGGGCTTTGCTGGGTGGTGTCTGCTCTGGGGGAGATTAGGTCAGCACACACCTAGGGCCTGGCAGTTGCTGCTCTCTGCTGGGAGTTTGGATCTCAGGAGCCTCCCAAGCATTCCACACATGGGGTGAGGGAGCCAGTCCTCTACCCCCTCTGCTGCCCACCAACGCAGCCTTCCCAGGCTTAGTCCCAGAGAGTGTTCACACCTGCTTCCACTGGTCATGAAGTTGGACAGTTGAGGCTAGATACTGAGGAATTAGCAGGAAGCAGGTTTATTGGCTGCTGCTAACTCCATAGTGGGGGCTTTCACCTAAATTCATTTGTCCATCTGAAGCCTAAGTCCAGAATTCTTTAGAACTTTATACCCAGTGTGTAGGGAGAGGGAAGCTCAGAGGCTCCCAATTTGAAGTAGTCTATATAATAAAGTATTTTTTCTTCTTTTACTGGAATGGGTAACTAACCCAGCCCTGAATACCAAAGACACTGAAAAAGTAGTGCTTGGGAAAGGGAGGGTTCTGCTCCCATTTCCCCCACCAGCTGGTTTTCAGGGAACCTAATTAGCACCATTCACTCTTATGTTTTTATTGTAAAGGATTTTCTCTAGGATCTAACTACTCTCCTTTGAAGTGTAAACATCTCTCTGAAGGCTCCCAGCCCAAACCTAGAGGCATTTATTGCACTCTGCTTTCTTTTTTCTTTCTTTATTTTATTTTATTTATTCTAATTTGTTATATAGGACAGCAGAATGCAATTCAATTCATATTACACAAATAGAGCCGAAATTTTCATGTCTCTGGTTGTGCACAAAGTAGAATTGCACCACTCATGTTTTCATACATGTACTTAGGGTAATGATGTCCATCTCATTCCACCATCTTCCTACCCCTATGCCCTCTCCATTCACCTCCCTCCCCTTGCCCTATCTAAAGTTTATCTATTCCTCCCATGCTGCCCACCCCATCCCCATTATGAAACAGCATCCTTATATCAGAGAGCATTCTGCATTTAGTTTTTTTGGGATTGACTTACTTCACCTACCATTATATTATCCAACTCCATTCATTTACCTGCAAATGCCATAATTTTCTTCTCTTTTAAGGCTGAGTAATATTCCATTGTGTATATTTACCACATTTTCTTTCTTTATTCATCTACTGAAGGGTATCTATGTTGGTCTCACAATTTAGCTACTGTGAATTGTGCTGCTGTAAACATTGATGTGGCTGTGTCCCTGTAGTATGCTGATTTTAAGTCCTTTGGGTATAGACTGAGGAGTGAGATAGCTGGGTCAAATGGTGGTTCTATCCCCAGTTTTCCAAGGAATCTCAGTATTGCTTTCACTTTTGGATGCATTAATTTGCAATTCCACAAGCAATGTGTGATTGCCTTTTTCCCCACATCCTTGCCAATACTTATTGTTGTTTGTATTTTTTTAATTGTAGATAGATCCAGTATCTTTATGTACTTATTTTTATGTGGTGCTGAGGATCAAACCCAGTGCCTCATGTATGCAAGGCAGGTGGTCTACCACTGAGCTACAGCCATGGCCTTGTTGTTTGTATACTTAATAGCTGCTATTCTGACTGTAGTTAGATGAAATTTAATAGCTGCTATTCTGACTGTAGTTAGATGAAATTTTAGAGTGGTTTTGATTTGCATTTTTCTAATTACTAGAGATTTTGAACATTTTTCATATTTGTTGATTGATTGTATTTCATCTTCTGAGAAGTGTCTGTTCAGTTCCTTGGCCCATTTATTGATTGGTTCATTTGGGTTTTGGGGGTGTTAAGATTTTTTACTTCTTTATATATCCTAGAGATTAGTATTCTATCTGATGTGCATGTAGTAAAAATTTTCTCCCATTCTGTAGGCTCTCTATTCACCTCACTGATTGTTTCTTTTGCTGAGAAGAAGCTTTTTAGTTTGAATCCATCCCATTTATATTGATTCTTGATTTTAATTCTTGTGCTATAGGAGTCTGATTAAGGAAGTTGGGGTCTAATCCAATATGATGGAGATTTGGGCCTACTGTTTCTTCTATTAGGTGTAGGGCCTCTGGTTTAATTCCTAGGCCTTTGATCCACTTTGAGTTGAATTTTATGCATGGTGAGAGATAGGGGATTAATTTGTTGCATATGGATTTCCAGTTTTCCCAGCACCATTTGTTCAAGAGGCTATCTTTTCTCCAATATATATTTCTGATGCCTTTGTCTAATATATGTTTATGGGGATTTGTCTCGGTATTCTCTCTTCTGTACCATTGGTCTACAAGTCTATGTTGGTGCCAATATCATGCTGTTTTTGTTACTATTGCTCTGTAGTATAGTTTAAGGTCTGATATAGTGATGATACCTACTTCACTCTTTTTGCTAAGGATTTCTTTCACAATTTTTGGTCTCTTATTTTTTCAAATGAATTTCATGACTATTTTTTTCTATTTCTATGAGAAATATCATTGGTATTTTGATTGGAATTGCATTAAATCTATATAGTGCTTTTAGTAGTACAGTGATTTTGACAATTTTAATTCTGACTATCCAAGAACAAGGGAGATCTTTCCATCTTCTTAGATGTTCTTTATTTTCTTTCTTTAGTGTTCTATAATTTTCACTTTAGAAGTATTTTACTTCTTTTGTCAAGTTGATTCCTAAGTATTTTATCTTTTTTGAGGCTATTGTAAATGGGGTAATTTTCCTTGTTTCTCTTTCAGAGGATTTGTCACTGATATATAGAAATGCCTTTGATTAATGGGTATTGATTTTATATTCTTGCATAGATGCAAAATTTCTCAATAAAATACTGGCAAATTGAATACAGAATCATATCAAAAAGATAGCTATCTATGCTAAGCCCCAGGCCAACATCATTCTAAATGGAGAAAAATTGAAAGCATTCCCTCTAAAAACTAGAATAAGATAGGGATGCCCTCTTATACCACTTTTATTTAACATAGTTCTTGAAATACTAGTCAGAACAAATAGAGGAAATAAAGGGATATGGATAGGAAAAGAAGAACTAAAATTAGCATGATTTGTACTCTGCATTTGTAAACACACTTCCTACCTAAAAACTCTTACATACAATCATATATCATTTTGGACTTGAAAATTTATGACACTAGCTGCCCGTAAATGTTGTG